TAGTGCCTGTATGCTCTCCAATGGCATTAAATCTTTGAGATATGAATCAATATGATATGATTATTATGGCACAAAGCTTTATGTCAGCTAAATTGGGTTCAAATTTTGTCTTCTTAAACAAACAACCACTTAGGTTTACAAGGTACCCTTGGATGATGCAACCCATGGTTGCTGACAATGATCCTTCTGTCAGGTTGGGTCGACTACCTCCTTTAACTAAGTGGACCATGTACCACGATGACCTGAGATAACAGAACCATGTGATTTTGATCGAGCTCATAATTATTCCCCCATCATCCTCTTTAAATGTAAGATGGTGAAAATTTTAAATTTTAAATATCAAATTTTCAATTACCAAACCAATGCTGCTACTATTTGTCGGATATCATGTATCTACGGGTACGACGTATTCATTCGATGACTAGCCTTAATTGAAAGTTCTCTCTCGTTATCGGGAGAGGTAATTAACTATAGAGGTTGCGCCCGTAGGAAACTAGAACTTAGATCATAAAGTCATCGCAAATTGAGGGCAAAATCTCCATGTGTGTCTTATCTACAACTTAATCTGCCTTCTAAAAATTTGCCCCAGAGCTTAATTCATTAATACTCCCCCTGAAAGGCGAGGGGAGACCGGGGCGCAAATTTTCGGAGCGCACATCCACATAATTGATTCAAATTGAACACTTCATGAATATTTGATATCTTCACCCTTAATAACCAGGAATATTTGGTAGCCTGTTTGATGTGGACATCAGATCATGTAAGGTTTATCAGAGGCGTGGTCGCCGATCTACGGCCATAATCGAGTCTTTGTATTTTCTTATTTATGTTATCGCATTCTATTTGCTTTCTTTAGTTTCCCGTTGTACCCTCTTATGAAGGGATGCTGTATGTAAGCCCAAGGGGCATTTATGTTTTTTGTCTTTGAGTCCTTTGTATGAGGCTTTATATAGCCCTCATTTTCTTTTGAGGTTAATGAATGATTATGAGAATTTTGATTACAATTGTTTTCTTAGAGCTCATGCGAGAGTTTGAGAGAAAGAGTTAGAGATCTTGGTGGAGCCTAGGAGAGGCCACCCGTCATACCCAACAGTCACCGCCGGTGGCTCTTGGTCCCCCCTCTCTTCCCTCACCACCACCTCCGGCCACCTCTTCCCATCCACCGAAATTTCCCCCTCCCTAGTTCCCCAAGTGCTCTTCCTAAATCAACCCAAAATTCTCCACTAGCTCCACTACCATTGGGCCAATCGGCCCCTTGGCCGAGCCTCACCATCCCCGGCCTCTCTTCCAGCCAGCTTCCCTTGTTTCCCTTGCCGAATTTGGATTGACAAAGTTGGGGGTTGATTTGAAATTCAAATTCCAACATTTTGAATTTTAAAATCTTTCCTAAATTAGTCAATCTATTTGAGGAAAGTTTCTAAAATTAACAATATTTAAATTCAAATTCAAATAGAGTTAATTAAATACTTTCCTAAGTTTAAAGTTATTTTAAGCAAGCTTGTACATGTGCCAATTAAATCCCTAACCCCTTCACAATGCTGCCTGCCCCCTCCCCTTAGTCAATCAATGTTCAATTATTTATTTCCTAAATCTAATCCCTCCTTTAGGAAATATTTCAAACTCCCTAATTTTTCTCTTGGCCGAAACTTTCCCAAATCCCCAAGCTCTAAATTATTTCCTAAAACCAGAAATTGGAATTAGGAAATAAGATTCCCCAATCCCGACGGCCTCCTCTCTCCCAACTGCCTCTCTCTCTCTCTCTCTCTCTCATATTTCCTCTCTACTTTTAATTCCCTATTGACCTTGACTCCATAACTCTTGCTCCTTCAAGTTCCTTTCCACTAAATGCGCAAAACTGAAATTCCTCTCAGATTTCTGAGGAAAAACCTGAAAATATTTCAGATTTTTTAGGGAACAATTTCAGATTTTTGTGAAGGACACTTGGAGTCGCTCTTCGATGCTACTCGAGAGTTGTATCTAGTGCTAAAGAGATTTTATTTTCAACCATCCATGAATGGCGGATCTGGAGACTGGCATAACTTGGGACGAAGACAGCTTCACCGACATCCTACGATCAACTTTCTTCGACGTGAATCTGAGGATCGACCACATCGTTGAAGACTACTTGGAGCGGATCCTAGATACTTTGGTGGAAGCTATCGACGAACACTTCGAAGGCATTGAGTGGAGGATCTCCACCTCTCCTTGACGAAGGTTTCTCTTCCTCTTTGCATCTTACCTCTCTTAGTCTAACTCATCTTGGTTTGATTGCAGTCACGACGGACTCCGCCACATTGCTCTTGCTTAAGCTTAGTAAACGTAGGATTTGAGTGCACCTCTATGTTTTCTAATTCTCATTGTTAGACTAGGGATTATTTTGAAAGCTACTACTATTCGTTGTGTTGTTTTCCTAATTATTTTGGAAGTTTTCAAAGCTCTCACCATTTGATTTAACCTAAGCAGATAACCACTAATTGTTTTTGATTCGTTGTTTGAATTTGCTAAGTGGTTTCGTTCTAGAATTATTCTAATCATAAGTTGTGCAAAATTCATATGAGTTAAAGTGCAATTCATTTACATAGTCCTACATCACTGTTTTAATCAGGAATTAGGTGGTATTTAGCGTGAATTATGCCAAATGGCAATTTTTGCACGAAATAAATCCTATGGGATTGTAAATCCAGAATCTACTAAATCATTTAACTGGATTTACACTAATACAGAATACTCTCTCGCATCCTTTTTCATCGAGCAGCCTCGAATCCCCCATTTCTATATCCTGATCTGCACTCTTTTTGCGCACCTTGTTGTCTTCGCTCGCAACAACGTTGCAAGATCTCACTCGCCTCTTCTGACCAGTTACTATCCTTCTTGCAATTTCATCCTAGCAGGTATATTCCCTTTTGGCAACATTTCTTGCAAAATTTTCCTCCTTTTTAAGTAGAAAATTCTATGCTCCTCACTCGGTTAGGCCAAATCCTCATTGTACACCATACCAATGTTCAGTTCGTAAAACTTATCATATTTGAGGAAGGCATCAACGCCTTCATGGCCGCTGATCTCCTCATCAAACTTGAAGGAGATGTGGATGGTCTGGTTTGGGCCGCTGATCTTTTCATAACCACTTGCAGAAGCCTATTATAGGTTATGTCAAGGAGATATGAACTAATCTACAGCTTTTGTAGTCTTTTTTTATTTATTTTTAATTATTAACTAATTGCCTTATATAATTTTATCAGTAGTCCTGCAATCAAAATTTCTAATGATTTTGTTTTTCTTTTGTTACTCTTGCTGTTAATGTCAAATTTTGTCATTAGAGATTTTCTTAAATGAGTAACCATCAATTTTTTTTTCAGTATCATTTTCTTTTATGTTCATTAGAGATTTAGTGATGATTGCTTTCTGCTTTGCTATATAATTATTGGGATATTAGCATTAAATCTGCATATAATTCTTCATTCCTTCTCCATCTCCTTTGCTTAATTCAGGCTTCATTTGACTTAGTTTTATAGTCTGTTTCCAATACTAGCAATAGTTATAGTTTATTTGGAAAAATAATTATGGTATATTTGAAATAGGATACGAAATGAGCATATACGTGAAAAGGTTGGAGTAGCTCCAATAGAAGATAAGATTAGAGAGAGTCGCCTTAGATGGTTTGGTCACATAAAACTGCAGCCTTCCAATGACCCGGTTAGGAGAGTAGAGGTGTTAGATTTGACTTATGTTAAGAAAGGTAGGGGTAGACTTAAAAAGACTTGGTTAGAAAATATTAGGAATGACCCTTCTTTATTAGATTTATATGAGAATTTAACTTTTAATAGGACATAATGGAGAAAATGATTCATGTAGCCGACCCCACGGAGTGGGATAAACCGATAAAGACTTGATGTTGTTTTTGTTGTATATTTTCCTTAAACTCAGTCATCTCTTTCACTTCGTAGAGCTCAGATTATTTGGATTTTTTTTTTTGCAAAATTATTATTATTTTGCTGGACGTATACAAGCTTCCATAATTAGAATATGTGTTCACCTAGACATTCTTTATTCTTCTTCTCTACTCAAGTCGATGGGCTCCTACACGTAACTAGTATCTGTATTTTTTATTCTGGGTTCTCTCTCTTTTTGAAAACAATAACGAATGAAACTATGAAAACTGATGCTTTATTAAAAAAAGTGTTGCCATACCCGTTTCTAAGAGTATTTTGATTTTTAAGATTGTTGTAATGCAATAGCAATTTCTGCAGAGATTATTTTAAGAGTAACTTGGTTTTAAAATTAGCGAATGTCAAACATTAATAATACAAAAGTTACGGCAAGCACTGACAATTCAACTGCATATGAGAAAACTTGGGCTTCGTTTGAGGCAGCTTTTTTGCTGCTTCTTAAAGTAGCTTTCTAGTATAAAATTTTTAATTATAAAGCTGTTTTAAGCAGTAAGAAAGCCATCCCAAATGTAATAGCGTTGTATGTGCTTGTACAAATTGTCCAGATATTTTTGTAATGACTTATGTTAGTTTTTTAATTACATACAAATGTGACAACTATTGTTTTTGGAGGCCGACTTCATGTAGTAGGATAAATACTTGATGTTGTTGTTTTTTGGTGCCATACGTGTTCACTAAAACTAAACGTGTCCTGAAGGATTTGATACAATTATTTATAAATGTCAAAACTGATTATATACATATTCTCTCTCTTTTTTTTCCCTATTCAGTTCTCATGCTTGCATTTCGCATGCCTCAAATATAAATCATGAAGTAAATTACCATAAATCCTGAAGTGCATAGGCAAATAGTTTGTCAAAATTAAACAACTATTGCCAGATAGTTTACTGGGTTTAATAATCTAAGGATTCTATAAATCTAGATTTACAGGATTGACTATATCCTAAATGAAGAGAAATATCCCCTTAATCTATCAAACTTCACAATTTTCTAACATTGTAATCTTTGTAACCATTGTTCTTTTTTACAGCTCTTTTTTTGACCTGTTTGCAGGTTTTTAGAACTGTGCTGTACATAAGAGCTACTTAGCCTGAGATCTTTTAGCAGGGTGCTTGAAAAACTAAGCAAACCACTTGGCCAACTTTTTTTTTGTTTTTGTTTTTGTTGAATGTGATTGTACATTGGCATCTCTGATTTCATCTTCAAAGACATTTTAGTTGGGTTGATTTTCTTCACTTTACCTGCACTTAATTATTTATTGGGAGATATATCAAAAAGGTTTTGGCAATTCCCTCTGTATATTTTGCCAGATTTTTGAAATTTGGTTTCAAAAAATTTAGTACATGATAAAATTCGGTATGCAATGCTCTACAGTTCTTATGTTTTATGAAGTCAATATGTATGTTGGATTATAGAGAAAAGGATCAAATTGGTCGTCTAATTTGTTTCTAAAGTATCAAAATGGTCCATTGATCATATACAAGTATCAATTTGATCGCTTTGCTCTTTAAATTAAGATCAAATTATTTTTTTGTTGGATCATTTAGGTTTTTATTTAAAAAAATTAAGGGACCAAAATAATAAATAATTAGGGATTATTTTGAATCTTCATAAAAAGTTAAGGCCTAAGGGATCAAATTTGCTGTAGTGCTCAGTTTGAATTGACTTAAGTTTGAGCTATTTAGAGCTTTGAAAAATTTCCCTCTATTTTTTAGCCTATTCATTGGAAATAGCATTTAGGGGAGTAGAATATTTTGATGTTCATAAAATTTTGAAAATGTGGATGGTGAATTTTAAAAAATTTGAATTTATTTTTAAATGAAATATAATATATAAATAATTTATATTACATTCATATATATTTAAAGGTTTTTAAAATTTATTTTGATCAGAATTTTTTTTTGCTTCTTAAATCTGATGCATAAATACAAAAATTTAAAGGTTTTTAAAATTTATTTTGATCAGAATTTTTTTTTTGCTTCTTAAATCTGATGAATAAATGCCAAATAAAGTTAGATTCTTAATAACCAAAAGGCAATGTCATAGTTGCTGGACTTTGTGTGTATACGAATATCTTACTAAAAAATAATTATAAAAATTTTTAAGCCTCTTAATCTATCATAAAATAAATATAATGTTAATTATTTATATATTAGGTTTATTTTAAAAATGTTTAAGAAAATTTAAAGTTTAGCTTGATTAAGATTTCGATCAGGATATTTTGATATATATTTGTTTAATGTTATTAAGATTTTTATGTAAAGTTATTTAATTTTGTTAAATTATTTGCTATAAATAATTTGGAAGTTTATTATAGTTGTGAAGAAAATAATATATTTGCAAATGCACCTGTAACAAGAGACTGTTTATCTCGTACTTTATTAATGTCCCGTTTTTATAACCTGATTATAATTTAATTAGAAATGCTCAAATTCTTGTATTATTAATTTTAATAATATAGGTAGAATATAACATACATAGATTCGGCTGACAATAAAAAAAAAAGATCAAAATCACTTGAAATCAAGTTTTCTCTCTCTAGAATCTCTTTCCCTCTCCTTAAAAGTGTAGCCTTAAGGGAGGGGGAATTTGGCTAAGAGGAATTTTAAGTGGATTTTGATATTTTTATAAATTATAAACATAGTGTTGTAGTGTTCGGGATATTGCGACGTTGTGCCGACACAATTCATAATAAAATGGCATAATCGAGAACTCAATCACAATACTCTCAAGGAAAAATTTTATGTTCTAGGTTTCATGCATGCAAACCATCGGCTCACAATTCAAAACAAAATTCAAACATTTACATACATACAAAACATTTTCAAACACTATTGCAATAAGTAATTAAGTATTATAGAAGATATTGACTCTCATATATCTACGCTATTATAATAATTATCATGATACAATATAAGATGTTTTTAACTCTCATATTCAAAGGGGTTTAGTTGTGGGACTAATTTAGTCAACCAAGATAATGGACCCCATAGCATGAAAATCCTTAATGATAATCATTAGTTACTTGGTTTAAAGAACTTTATGAAATCAAGTTGGAATTTAATTGAATGACTAATTTCAGATTGACTCAAAGCAACATAGGACTTCATATGCCATCAAATGAAAAAAAGAGAGAGCTCAAATTTATGTCATTACTAATATACAAACTTTTGATTGTGAACATAATATAATGGCATCATCATGATCAAGTTAACCACCTATTTAAAAAGCTTATTTAATTGTTGATGATATTGACTCCTTTGTTAGCTTGAATAAATTAAGAATTGGTGTTCTTAGGGCTGTAGAATATGATGAGGGCAAGAGATTTAGGTTTTGTTTGGGACGACTTTTTTATTTAAAGTACTTTTTCAGTAAAAAAAATAAAAATTTCAACTAAAAAGCTGCTTTAAATAGCGGTAAGAAAACAATCCCACATGAAGCCTTAAAATTTCGTAGGGCTAGTATTCCCTTCGTTTATAATCGACACATAGCTATCATTGTGAAGGTGTTTTGTGTAGGTTTATTTGATGTTGGGCAACTACTAAGATAAGTTTGGGTTGAAATATTGGCTTAAGTAGGCTACAAATATGCTGATCCCCATGAATTTAAAATTTACGAGTTTGATTTTGATGGTAACAAATATATGATTAGAGATAATATTATATATACAAGTTGAATTTTTGGTATCTGTATGAATTTCGATGCATGAAACTTACTAAGTTACAGAAAGATTGGAGAACCTATGGGCATGCTCAAGAACTTCAAGAAAAAAATCAAGTGGAGCTCTAGGAGGTACTTTGGAATTTTAATTTTGTGGCTTTAATTCAGGCACAAGCTTACTTCTATAAATGGTATCAAATGAGTATTATAAAATATTAATGAATCAATTCCTAAAAGATCAAATATATTGAAAAAATAAATAAATAAATAAAATTTAAAGGAAATACACTGGGCATGTTGCGTGACATAAAAGTACCCCTCAAACTTAAGATAAAATTCTATAAGATAATTGTGAGTCCCGCAATGCTTTATAATGTAGAATATTAGCCATTAAAAGAGAAGCACAAATAAGTCAAGTGTTGTAGAGATGAGGAAGCTCAAGTGGATGAGCAGCTTTATACTAAGAGATGGAATGCAAAATGAGTATATACATTAAAATGTTGGAGCATCTCCAGTGATATATAATATTAGAGAGAGTTGCCTTAGAAGGTTTGGTCACATAAAACATCACCCTTCCAATGATCCGATTAGGAGATTAGATGTGTTAGACCTGTCCTAAAGAAAGGTAAATGTAAACCTAAAAAAATTGATTAGAAAACAATAAAAATAAAATTTTAATACATTTAAATGAGAATTTAACTCTAAATAAGACATACTGGAGAAAAGACTTCTTAATGTAGCCGACCCCACATAGTGGGTAAAGACTTCTTGTAGTAGTAGTAGTGTAACTTGGATAGCAATTTATAGTAAACATCATATGTAGCATAAATTAGAAATGCAACTTAAAACAAGCAAATATGAAAATTTCCATCAAAAAGACTAATAATCATGCTATAATAGACAATTTACAAAGGTTAAATTTAAACATACTTGGAAAATAGCTCGTAGATCAGCTGAACTGTAGAGCTGGATATAAATAAGAGTAGCTAAGACGAGAGCCATGGATAGCTAGCCAACTGGTAAGAAGTATTGCTCTCGCTTCCACTGGACCACATACTCCCAATACTTCACCAGCATGTGATCATCAGGTACCACATCCTCCGGTTTACCGACGCAGAATATCGCATATGCATCAGCAGCATACCTGAGAAGAAAAGAGGATTTTTTTTAAGGAAAATATTTTGCACGATAACACAATCTATTCAAAGAAACGAGCAGTAATTTGAAAAAAATTGTGATTGAAAAAAATTGTGTCAGCAAAAGATTTCATGCATTATAACTCACAGACATGATTTTCATGTAAAACTTTCATCATTTCGTTGCGAGACACTGAGGTTTCGTTTGGGACGGTTTTCTTACCACTTTTTAAAGTCACTTTTTAGTATAAAAATTAAAAATTTTAAATTACAAAGCTGCTGTAAGAAGTAGTAAAAAAGCTCTCCCAAAGGAAGCCTGAGACTCACAGTACATGCTAACACCGCTATATTTGATAACAAGCGTGAAGCAACTTGCAGAATTTCATATCAAGGTCAGTGGTAATGCGTGTGTTTTGAGCACATATGAAATATATATATATAAACTGATGTAGCATAGCTTGGATGAAACAGATAAACTAATCATATCTTCTAGAATTTTTTTATTATTAAAGACAAAATTCATTATTAGAATATTTTTTTAATAATTTGCTATTGAGTGTAATTTAAAATTCATGATCATATCTTCTAATGTTAAATTTAAATTAATGATAATAATATTTCAAGACTAATTATTGAAATAACTAATGGTTTAAGAGCAAAATTCATATTACAAATCCAATATAGATAGAGAATAAACATAAGGGTGGAAGTTATTTAAAAGACTAATTAATAATTATTAGGTTATGAATATTATTTTAAATTTTAGTAATATATTGAGAGAAATATATAGGTAAATATAACAACTGTCTATGTACAATCAATAGCTAGTTCTAGAGAATGAGAACAATTCTAATTAATAATATTTGAGGTGTTAATCGTACAAATTAATTATAATTAAACAAGTTAGAGAAAATAAGATAAATTTATCAATTAAATCTTAATGATGAGGTCTTCCTAGGTATTAAATCTACCGTCATCAGAATAAAGAGTAAAAGTGAAACAACATATTTCCCAAGTTCAAGGTGAGTACTCATGTCTTTTAATTACATTAATGATATTTGTTTTCCTACATCTTATGCATCAAATGTTGCTATTATTTAATTACTTATTATTAATGTTATATGAATTAAAGATATATTAATTCCAAAGACCATTGATCATGTTGAACCGGAACAATTGAATTTAATATTATACAGATATCATCCATTTTATGTCATGATGTTTATTATATAGATCAATATGAAATGATTTGATTAAAATAGAATGCCTGCATGTGCATGTTGATTGATGGAGTACACCCCCTTATGATATTGGTTGGAGACGCAATATACCCATGCACATTAATGAAAAATGTTATCAAACAGGATAAGGAAAATAAAATGGAAAATGAGTATCTTCATTGGTACTATTTTAGACGGTGACTCCTGTGCCAGTTATATTATTTACGAGAAATGATAATGATATGACTAAAGATACGGATAATGATATATGCATATTATTGAAAGTTTGAAATGAAATTAGTTTATGTTTGAAAAATGATCATGAATATTGTTTCAAATGCCTTGAATTACTGTAGTTTAGAAACATGACTTACTCACTGAGTTCTTTATGACTCACTCTTCCTATTGAAAAATAATTACATGTATAATTCAATCAATTAAAATGAGCAGAAGAAGTGAAAATGTGTATCATAGGCGGACGCACCAAAAGAAATGTATTTAAATGATTTTATTTCAATTTATTTCAAATTTGAGGTTTTAGTGGCTCTTTCTGCTTATTGGAAATAATTAATTATTAATTGAAAATTTAGTCAAACGTCTGACCGTCTGTTCTCGTCTCGTTAATTCGAGTCTCCAGGCCGGATCATGACATTTCCTCACCTCCACGAAGATCCCAAGCTCCACACCTCATTGTTAGGTAGCTTGGAAGAGCACGCCAGGATAATCAATTGAGTTTACAAAGACTAAACTCAATGTGTTGTAGTCTCAATTGGAATTCATTCATAGGAGACTACAATACCAGATTCCAGACTTTTAAACTCCCACCTGGTCTTTAATCTCTTGCATGCAGACAACCCTTGTTGAATCTATCCATAAATAGCCATATCTGTCGTTATCAGTCCATAAGTAGTAAAAAATTCTAAGGAATCGCTTCCAATTAGAATGCAACTACTCTCAAACGACCAAAGATGCTTTTGGCAACAAATTCTCAACCCTTTTTGTCATAATCTTATGCTCATGGAAGAAATGGTTGCAATATCGTTAGAGTCTCCACAAAACCAAGCACCCAATTGTGGCTCACAACCATCATCCTCAACATGTGAATCTCCTCATATTGCTTCTCAACCACCAAATGCAACTCTTCAATAGTCATCGTGTATGCTTCTAATCACCCATAGTAATCCACTTGGAGCTACTAATTAAGAGACTGTTCAACCTCATAGACTGTATCTTCGTGTCTGTTACCTATGCTGCCTCTCATGGTTGACAACAGAGGAGAATTAAGAACATAGATTGCCGTCAAAGTCGAGCCTATAGGAACTGCCTGCAAACTGATCTCTACGGAGGAGATCATCTTCTCCTCCAATCCTACTTCTCAACAATGTCACCTAACATATTCATAACTAAACGAGTAAACGGTATTACCCTTGTTGATTTCCTTGCGACATCTAACAGCAGAGTTAGAGCCTGTTGAGGCTGAGATACCTCAGGAGACCCAACTCGAGCATTCGCTAAGAATTTTGCCCATGAGTCAAAGGAGTTAGATACTAGTCACTTATTCTAATTCTTATGTCATCATTATAACAATTGCATGTCAAGCAAACACCTCCTTTACCTATACCATGGCAACTTCTACAGCAAATATCATTAATGCCTCCATTGCCAAGGACAATGTCATGGCATTCATCTAGGGACATCACCTTCTTCTCCTCCATCCTCCTCTTCCTTGCGTGGAGTATGACCTCTTCCGTTGCTTCATTCACCACGACCTCCTTTGATGTTTCCCTTGATGCGACCTTCTATGTTGATGTCTTCATCACAACCTCTGTTCCAATACAGCTTCCTCCATTACCGACTTCAGTACAACCTCCTCTAGTGTCACCTTCATTGCACGCTACTCCATTCTCAATTTCCCACAACCTCCTTTGTACCTACGTTCGTCGCTTGTTCATCTTTTTTTCCGCTTCCTAGCCAAAAGGATAGCATCAATCATGTCAACACTGCGCTCAGTCATCTTTTCAACCGAGCTCCAACTGCCAATAATTCATTTGGTCATCTAATACTACCACTTGGCGCCTAATAGCCCTTGTTTTGCCACGTGTAGCACATCCTCTTGCCACCAAAGCCAATCACCCATGTCCTACACATCACTCTCCACCTCAAAACTACCTTAAATTGGAGAACAAAATACCAATACCTCCTCCTTGGCCCCAAGGAGAGAATTTTGAACCCTAACTTATTAAGATTGAACGCTTATAATCTGGAGAGACCAAGAACTTATATCTACTACTTCCCTAATTCTAGGGAATTCTTTTTTATGTGATACAATCCAGGAGTTACTTGAGAAATTAAAGAGAGCGAATTAACGAAGTGTTCCCAAAATAAAATTAATACTTATAAAAAGAATTGATCCTTGGAGTTCTTAGTTTTTAACTTACCTAGGCAAAGAAGAGCAAAACCGATTCCCAAACAATTCAAGAAAACGCAAAGAGCAATTGTAAAACTACGACGATACACAAGAATCCATGATTTAATAAAGAGAACTTTTACCTTTGGAGCCCATACGCTCAACTAGTCTAGGCTTTAGCGGAAGAAGAGTCTCCACATTAGAACCGAGGTCACTCCGAGGAAGAAGGAGCCTAACATCGTCGTTCTTGGATAGTTGGCCGGAGTGGTGGAGGATGACGGTCGTCCGATGATGATCCAACGTCCATTTGATCTTTGCTCGTCGATCACATCAACTAATGTGTACTGGATACGGTCGATGTAATCTTCAATAGTGTCGTCGAAGTCGAAGCCCACGTCAAAGAACGGTGATTGGAGGATGTCAACTGATCTCGATCGTCATGTACAAACCCAAAGTTCCATTCGAGTTCCGCCATGCATTCTTGCCGGGAGTTGATGGAGCATCCCATAGAAGAGGGGAGGTGGAAGGGCTAGCTGTGAGCTAGGGAGAGAGGGAGGGGTTCACCGGTTTGAGAGAAGCAGGGGCGAGTGAGGCTATGGGGGAAGAAGCACAAAATCTGAAGTTTATTTCAGATTTTTTGAAATTGGTGGAGAGATTAATTTCAGTTTTCAAAATCTGAAATTGAAATTAATTTAGGAGGGAAGGGTTAAAGGGGTATTAAAAGAGAATTAATAGGGGAGAGAGAGGGAGGAGTGGCCGGCGGCCATGTAGAGAGGGGAGAGGCTTGAGATTTAAGTAGGTGGGGACCACTAGTAATTAATCAAAATCTGAATTTTTATTTCAGATTTTAATTGCCTCATGTAACTCCCTAATTTGAATAAAATTAGGAGGAAAATTTGAATTTCAAAAGATTGTAACTCCCTTGATTAATTCCCTAATTTAGTTTGACTTAATCAGGAAAGTCATTAATGAGGGAAATTCAAAATTGGAGGGAGAGAGGGGGCCGGCGGTAGGGGCTCATGGGTGGTCGGCGGCAAGGGATCTTGCAGGAGGTCGGCGAGCTGCTGGGTGGAGAGTTGGCCGGCGGGAGGAGCTTTGCAGGCTGGCGGGTTGAGCCTTGCAGGCCGGCGGCCTAAATGGCTCCAAGGGGGATCGGCGACAACAAGAGGAGGGAAGGGAAGAGCTAAAATCTGAGGATTTTTCGTTGCTATGATTCCACTCACCTCTCTTTCTTCAAAATCAGATCTCAACAAAATAAAATTGGATGAAATCTAGAACTCACAAAGAGATCTAGTTTCTCCGTCGAACTCACTAAGAGATCTAGGAGAAGTGCACTCACAAAGAGAACAAGGAGTAAATTTCTTCATTCATCAAAACTCCTATTACAAGAGAAAAGGGCCCTATATATAGGCCACCAAATGACAAAGAAAACAAAAGACTAAAATGCCCCTTAGGCTACAATAGCGACTAAATACCCACAAGGGCAAAAGCGGAAAAACATAAAAATAAAATAAACTACTACATAAAATGACAAAAATACAACTCATGATCGTGGCCGTCGATCTCCGGCATCTCCTGATGGTACATGTGTCGAAATCGCTGACGATGTCCTCATCACTTTTGCTCTCCCCCGTAGTGCACTTGGATTCTCGAACAAAATTACTTAAATCTTTTTTATTATTATTATTGTTACTTCTTGATTCTGTCCACTTCTATATATTTTTTTAGTTCTTTTGTAAGTCAAACTCCAACCTAGGTCGAGTAAACCAACTTGGTGGCTCGCCCTTCCTTTTCTTACTCATCAGTGAACCAGCAAAAACTCTGAAGAAATATCAACCTTCAACCATCCTAGACCATATTTGGTCATGCAAATAGCACATGCAATGAGAGGACAAAAGACAACAAAAGCTTTGTGCAAAATTGTGTCCATGAGTGTTTTATACATGAAATTTTTACTTACATAAAACTTCTTGAATTGGTGTGATAAATTAATAATGAATATATATAATCAAAACATTTGGCAACACCCTTGATCTCAAAATGGAATTTTGCAAGTTAGACCATTCCCAAAATTATATATAACAATGCAAGGAACTAGAACAATGACGAAATGATGAAAGTTTTATGGGGTTTCATGATCATGAATCATAGAGGAAATTTTTGCTCGTGTAAATCTATTGATTTCATGCTCGTTTCAATGAACAAACAAAGCTACTACGTACAGCTTATTGAAATGAAAACATATTGCTTTAGATATAAAAAAATGAAAAAAAAGAGGAGTCCCAAAAGAAAAAAGTTTGAAATGGGGCGACAACTAGCCACTCGCTATGTGGACGACTTACAAATGTAGCCGCCCATCACGGGGATGACTAGCCTAATCACCCACTAAGGGTGTAAATTGTTTCCCTACATTATATTTTGAATGCATCGGGCTTGTTATGTGATAGAAATGTACCCCTCAAACTTAAGGGAAAATTCTATAAGATGGTAGTGAGGCCTGCAATGCTTTATGGTGCCGAATGTTGGCCTTTAAAAGAGAAGCATAATACTAAGTTAAGTGTGGCAGAGATGAGGATGCTCAGGTGGATGAGTGGCTTTACCCTTAGAGATAGGATACGAAATGAGCATATACGTGAAAAGGTTGGAGTAGCTCCAGTAGAAGATAAGATTAGAGAAAGTCGCCTTAGATGGTTTGGTCACATAAAACGGCGGCCTTGCGATGACCCGGTTAGGAGAGTAGAGGTATTAGATTTGACTTATGTTAAGAAAGGTAGGGGTAGACCTAAAAAGACTTGGTTAGAAAATATTAGGAATGACCTTTCTTTATTAGATTTAAACGAGAATTTGACTTTTAATAGGACACAATGGAGAAAAAGGATTCATGTAGCCGACCCCACGTAGTGGGATAAAGGCTTGATGTTGTTGTTGTTGTATTATATTTTGAATGCATTCTTATATCTAATTGGGTTGCTAAATGTATTCCTTCCAAACAAAAAAAAAAAAAAATCAAAAAGAGGATTTGCACCAAATGAAAATGATTATAATAAGATGTCAAAGTTGTATGGAATTCCAATATTATAGAAATGCAAGACCCAAGTATATCCTAATGGGCAAAGATATTACTTACTTGCCAACTCCATGAAGCTCAGTCACATAAGTCCACCCATCTTTCAGATATTGACGTGACATTTCACGGATATCTCTGGCACGTTTATTTTGTAAACCAAGAGATTCAATGACAGTTCGAAGTTCATTCATAGGGACGTGGACCGCAGCCTCAGCTGTTGGGCATAAAAGAAATACACGTCGTAAAATTTTCTTGACCTACGTAGAAAGAAAAACAATGTCACAGTTAGCACACATAAAATTCAAACTAATGCTTTGACATTCTGAAAAGTTCTAAAGCACAAAGTTCCATTGCCTTGAATTGTGGTCATCAATTTACTTAGAAGTACATGTCTTTCAGAAAGCAATACTAAAGTAATGTGAAAAAATCAACATTGGCAAAATTGAGCTACACCTTGACATTTGTTTTCAGTATTAAAGCAAGTTATAGACTCAAAGAGAAAAGCTTGCAGTGTCCCAACAAATATCATAGTGAAACTCAGTAGGAATATAAAAAAATACAATCAAATACATTTGTATATTTGCGAACGCACAAAACACAAATACTGGTAGCTCATCATGCAGAGAATGATTATAAAAAACTCTAAATTCATTCATTCATTCCAGAAGCATAGCATAACATTCATGTCATCAAGCAGGCATGAAGAAACACAATTTCAGTCCATAACATCAACAGTTATAGACAAAATTTGACATAGATGATTAGATACATACAAAGATAATCTTTAAATAACTAATTTTTTCCATGCCAAGCTATCTCATAAAAAGCAGAGAAAACATGAGAACACCAGTGTACTAACGTCACCTGTTCGCCTGTTGTTTGATTCAAAAGCATGCATATTACAAGAACCCTCCAAGGATCAAAGGCATGATCCTCCTGCAATAGCTCATAAGGAGAATTTGGAGGTACCCAATTATTGTCAGGGCTGACCCTACGGTAGAAATCCTGCATTTTCTGTGCCTTTTTCATTGTTTCTCTGTGTTTACATCTCGCAGACCTGCGTACTTTGTCAACCTCATCTGTTGCCGGAAATGAAGCCATCTTCCTCTGTTTTTTGGTTTTCTGAGAGGGAGGCTCACGAGATAGAGCAAGGCAAGAAGCATGTACCGCTTCCGCTTTGTGCCGCCCCTTCATTATCTTGAAGACAGATGGGTTTACCGCTACGACGTTGTTACTGTTTTCAAAAGTGCTGCTTCTCTTATTATGATTTATTGCTTTAGAGCTAGTGGTTGCAATATGTGGAGTTGTTTCAGGGATGTTAAGGGAGTAAAATGACTGTTGGAGCCTGTTCCTGTTCTCTGTTTCCTTAAGTGTAACATTTGCTGCTCTTGTGCCATTGCAGGAGGCTTTTTCACCTTTGGAAGTTGTAGAGAAGGTAACATTTGCAGAAGTAGCAGCAATGTCAGATTCAACACAGCTCAGGCGCTCTTGAAGACTCCTGTTTCCAGTGTAACGGAAAGTATTGACCATGTTAGCAAATGATGCCAAGCTCTGCCTACTAATACCACCATTGCTACAAGAGGGATTTTCCTCCTCGCCTGCGTTCTCCTCCCCTATCATTATCTTCACCATTTCAATATTTTTCTTTGACTTATTCTTAGTTCTCCTAGTGATGTTCTTTTTGCTGTTCAAGTTAGTGATGGGCATTTGTTGAGATATCCCCAACTCCTCAAGATTTACCCCATCCATCGCCTCAGCAAAGACAAGAGCTTCAGCCGGAGTCCAAACCACATTGTTTAGGGCGGGAGCTGGTATCCACGAAGAATTCTTCCACTTCCTCCCACTCCTAGTAGCCTCTCGGCATTCTTGAGAGGGAAGGCTTGCAGTTGCAAAGGCTTTCTTCACCTTGTCGTTGGTGTATATTGAACTAGCTGGATCCTCATTCTCCCCACCCATTCCAGCCACCATCATTGCCTCTGAATCAACACTCCGAATCCTCTTCTTCAGCAAGGGTAACTCAGATCTCCGTCTTTTAATACTGATATTACAGGTTGGAACTGCATCGATCTCCTTGCACTTCTGATGCGTTGCCCGAGATACCTCCGGAACATTCTTCATTTTCCTCTTGCCTTCAACATTAATCACATCTCCGGCCCATTCCATTGAATCAACACCCCTGTTTTTCCCCTTATGGGAAAAGGGCAACTCAGCTCTAAGGCTTTTAAAGCAGCATTTGCAGGTGGGAAAAGTATGAATCTCCTCCTCGCCCAACTCATTGATTACCGGAGATAACACCGAATTTCTCTTCCTGTTGGCTTTAACCCTCCTTGCCGCCACCGCTCTTTCCATTGGATCAACGCTCTTGCTAACCTTACCCAAGAAGGGCAACTCAGATCCACGCCTTTTAATGCCGATATTGCAGATGGGAGCAGCATCGTTCTTCTCATCGCCCTCTTCATCCGACGAGGTGGATAACACCCGAACACTTTTCACCTTTCTCTTAGCTTTAACCCTCATCACCCCCGCCGCCACCCTTTCCATCGAATCAACACGCTTGCTCCAATTCCTCGAAAAGGGCAGCTCGGGTCTACACCTTCTAATTCCATCACGGTGGGTGGGAACAGCATCGATCACCTCTTCGCCCTCATCCGACGCCGGATATAGCACTGGAACCGTCTTCATCTTCTTCTTCATGGGTTTAACCCTCTTTCCGTACACCGGGACGGCCAAGGCAAGAACTGGAGCTGGAGGACTGCTCGGCATCGTCTTTCTCTTCCTTGTGTAAAGCAGGGGTTCCGATCGAAGAGAGTTTGATGTCGGTTGGACCTCAGCGGCGGCTGCAATCACGGTCGGATTCTGCTTTACGATGTTTAACTTAGGTTGGACCTTAGCAACCGACGCTATCGCCTGCATGCTTGCGGCTCCGCTGCTCCGCCGCTTCTGTGCTCTCATTCCGGGCAAATTATTGGGTCAGGTGACCGAAGCCAATCTCTCCGTTCGGTCGCCAATAAAAATGCGCCATCTGTCAGTCGTTTTTTTAATTTAATATTAACGCTTTATGTCTTGTCAGAGTTAGCGACCCGACCCGATAACGCTATTCTATTGGCGAAGAAAGAATGGAAACGCCGCGCATTTTATTTTCGAGCGACATTTTCACTGTTACTCGAGCTCTCGGATTCCTCCATTACCTTCGGTTCTGCATTTGCTTATTCCTGCCGGAGGTAGACGACGATACTGTAGAAGACCAGCAATCAGGAAGAGGTATGGTTCCGCCTAACTTGCGCTTTACTTGCGCTTTACTTGCGCTTTCGTTGCGTTAAAGTTATATTGCCGTTAAATTTTAGGGTTTGGTTTACTTATAATTTTACCAATGTTTCCTTTCAAATATTTATTTTCTGATTTTTCACGCTTCTTCTCTTCGTAAATGGATGAAGCAAATGATACGAAAGGTTTACGCTATCTTCTAAGTTTTAGGGTTTAGTAATAGTTGTAAAACTAGAATATATGTTCAATGTGGTTTTCAATTTTTTGGTTTTTTTTTATTTTAAACTTTTTTAAGCTAAATAATTACGAAATATAAGGTTGCGCTATGGTTGCGCTATGGTTGCGCTATGGTTGCGCTATGGTTGCGCTATGGTTGCGCTATGGTTGCGCTATGGTTGCGCTATGGTTGCGCTATGGTTGCGCTATGGTTGCGCTATGGTTGCGCTATGGTTGCGCTATGGTTGCGCTATGGTTGCGCTATGGTTGCGCTATGGTTGCGCTATGGTTGCGCTATGGTTGCGCTATGGTTGCGCTATGGTTGCGCTATGGTTGCGCTATGGTTGCGCTATGGTTGCGCTATGGTTGCGCTATGGTTGCGCTATGGTTGCGCTATGGTTGCGCTATGGTTGCGCTATGGTTGCGCTATGGTTGCGCTATGGTTGCGCTATGGTTGCGCTATGGTTGCGCTATGGTTGCGCTATAGTTGCGCTATAGTTGCGCTATAGTTGCGCTATAGTTGCGCTATAGTTGCGCTATAGTTGCGCTATAGTTGCGCTATAGTTGCGCTATAGTTGCGCTATAGTTGCGCTATAGTTGCGCTATAGTTGCGCTATAGTTGCGCTATAGTTGCGCTATAGTTGCGCTATAGTTGCGCTATAGTTGCGCTATAGTTGCGCTATAGTTGCGCTATAGTTGCGCTATAGTTGCGCTATAGTTGCGCTATAGTTGCGCTATAGTTGCGCTATACTTGCGCTATACTTGCCCTTTACTTGCGCTATACTTGCCCTTTACTTGCGCTATACTTGCCCTTTACTTGCGCTATACTTGCCCTTTACTTGCGCTATACTTGCCCTTTACTTGCGCTATACTTGCCCTTTACTTGCGCTATACTTGCCCTTTCAGGCTGTATACAAAGATGAGACAGAAGCATATGAATGTTTTTGCACTTATGCTCACGATAATGGCTTTAGTGTCCGAAAGGATCATCACAGTTTTTGGCCAAATTCTAGGAAGATAAAATCGAAGGACTTTGTTTGTTCAAAAGCTGGTTTCAA